CTCCACGTAGGGCTCCACGTAAGGCTCTGCGTAGGGCTCCGCGTAGGTTGCTGGCACCGCGCCCACCGAGGGCACGAAGGCAGCCGCGGCGGCGTTGAGGCTCGGGGCCTCTAACTTTAGTGCTCTTTTGAAGCTTGTGGCTTCGGGTGAGGAGTGCGGAGTAGCTATTTGCATTAAGGATATAAGGATGTTAGACAATGTGACCTGCAATCCATATAGGGACGTGGTTGGCCTGATGCTCGCGGCGGACATGGAAGTCTAGATGATGTCATCGAAGGTCTTCAGCTATATCTGCATTCCTGTGGGTACTTATGCAAGTATGTGCATATATGTATGTATGCATGCATAACCATAGTCTTACCAGTATTACTGCGAATAAGTACTGTTGTTGTCACCGTGTTCACCGTTATGTTATATTCTTATTGTTATTGTATTTATATTGTGACTGCACGCTAGTACTGCTTTTATTGTTACCTGTGTTACTGGTATGACTGCTATTGCTGTCACTACTGCTAGTACTGTTTTGTTTTTACTCTTGTCACTGATATTTCTGTTTCTTAACGCCACCATCATTCGGTTAGACTTACTAGCATGATTAGTAGCTATTCCATGATAACTGCTGCTGACACTCGCCATTTGTAAGTATGTACAGCACACATTATCATAACTCCATGTTGCTTCTGCTGCCAACTTATCCTTCGGCCTCCGATACGAAGGTTAGTGGCCTGAACCCATACACGGAAGGTGTCCAAGGGCATGCTAGCTAGAGCGTAGGTTGCGGATCCCTGGTTTAGGGTGTAAAGTTCGCCCTTCGATCAAAGAAAGTATCTTGCGAGGAGCGCATGGTACCAAGAGCTTTAAGGCCTGGCGGTGGGAGGCTTTGCCTGGGATCAAGGACGGCGGCCAAACCACCCGAAGCTGATCCTTGTAGGTTTTAGGCGTCAGCTCATTCAAAAACCATTTGGGGTGCAGAGTTTAGGATTCAAGCGGTACGGCTCCGCCTTCCGCGCCGGATGTCGGATACTCCATGTGTTTGCCTGTTGTCTGCGAGTTCGCTCGTCTCGTGATACGTGTTAGCAGTCGCCTACAAGACGAAGACAGCAACCGAACACCGTTCGTCCACAAACCTCAAGCCGATATGCCAACGCCCGAACATCACTATACACTCTAGTATATTACACTCTACTAGACTGTACTATACTTTACTACATTGTACTATAGCACACTGCACTATCCCCAAGTCTGCAGAACATGCGAACATCACGGGTCCGGCCTGCTTCTGAAGACTAAAATCCGGCTTCGGCACCTGCGTGGCATGAAACTTCAGCAAGCGAGATTTGGGAAGAGCTCTCCAAAGTCGGGCCCCTTTTGAGGTCCCAAAAGAGTACGTCATCCTTACAAAAAGAACACTAATGAAACCCTAATTTAGAGAACCACCGAATTGCAGATTGCGCATACAGCTTGTGCACAAGGTGCAAGGTCACTTAGGCACGGACCGTGAGACTTTTGCACTGCATTACTTGCTGATCTTTTCTGTCTTTAAAGGCCTCATCCAACATGCCAGCGAAACATGGGCGCTTGTCCACTCTAGTACTATACTCTAATGCCTCTAATACTATACTCATACGAAAGGACCCGTGGGGAATTGTGATTGAAATCATTGAAGCCTCTGTGTTGGATTTCTGCAAAGCCAATCTGATGATCCTCTTGGCCAGTGCATCGCTCCGCCAACGACGAAAGACAAAAACAGCGATCTCCATCGGAATACTTGGAGGCACAGGCTTCAGGGTTTAGGATTTTGGGTTTAGGATTGGAGGTTTTGGGTTTAGGATTGGAGGAGCTGCAAAGATGCGAACAAGCAAGCCTCTATGACCCCAAGACATGGCTCAATGCTCCTTTACCTCCGCTCAAAACAAGGGATATTGGCTCCAAGGCGTCTCACGACTCTTCTGCGCCCTCCACGCAACTGGTTAGTATACTTGGGGCCTTAGTCTAAGGCCCTGAGCCAGTCGTGTGGAGGGCATAGAGATTCACAACTAGAATAGGGCTCTAAAACTGAATTATGGTAAAAGTCTATGAAGGAACCCTGGGCAAACCGGTCACAATGGTCCTTGATTAAAGAGCGTGCAAGGAACTGGGTGAAAGCCTGGGGATACTCTCATTTCATTTATTCCAACTGTAATACATGGCCTTTTTTCGCCGAAGCCGTTTCGCCAAGTGCGAAGCCGCGAATCCCGCTTAGCGGGAGAGAGTCGTTCAACCCTAAACCCCACTGTTTGGGGCACGGCTGTCTGAACGCCGAGGGCTGCCAGGATTGGGTTTAGGGTGCGGGTCAACCTTGCACCTCGAAGCGCCAGATACTAAGCTTTGCAATCCCAAACCGTTAACCCTAAAGCCCTGAGCCTCAAAACCCTGAAACCCGAAACCGCAGGAACTATATTATCATGAATACTAACAGTATGACTATTGCCATTATCATTCTTATTCTTCTAACACAAAAAACACCTTGAGCGGGAGCTCCTGAAATCAATCCTCCCATCCGAGCCGTAGGGGTCTTGCGTAAGTCCAGAAGCCTGACGTTTCAGGGCCCAGAGGGTTCAGGGCTTTACCTCTTTACGGCCTTGGGGCTTAAGGACTTCTTCTAGTTCAAGGATTTAGGGGTTTAGCGGTTTGGGGTTTATGTTTTTGGGGCTTTGGTTTTTGGATTCGCTTAGGATTTGGGCTTCTGAGGTTCAGGGTCTGCCTCTAAGTTGGTCCCAACAGCCCATGGCTCGGAAGCTCCGCATGGCTGCACAGGCGGCCGAGAGGCCTCGCGACTTGTGTGCGCAAGAATGAGACTTGCAGTGTGAGGCTGGGGGCGACTATAGGGGCCTTAACAATTAGAACAAGGTTTTGCGGCCCACTATACTCTAATTCTAATAATCCCCACAATAGTATTGGTGATTATTTAAGCCCCCATAGTAGGGGCTCTAGGTTGGGAACACGGTCCTATAAGGGGTGAGGTCGAACTTTACAGGACGTTAAAGGTTCTATATAGCAAAACGCAAAATTGACAAGAATACTTTTAGGGTATGTAAGATTGTGAGTATACCAGGCTGAAACTCGGGGGATTCAGGGTCTGGGTCAGGTGGGTCTTAGGAATTTTCCAATGGGCGCAGGTCAATTATACAGGGCTGGAGAGGATGGCTCATACGGTTGATGGTATAAACCCTGCATTACCTTAAGGGCCCTAACCGATGGGAATTATTGTATATTCCTTATTATGGGTAATGATCATCAAACGTAGTTCTCCTATCAAACCCGGCTTTTGGACTGAGATGAAAAGCCCTCAATTGAGCATAGGGGCCTCGGGATGATTTGACTGAGCTATATGGGAGTTTCCGAAAACAAGGGGGTACCTAATGTTGGGGTCCTTATAAGAAGGATCCTACCATTTAGGGTACTATGTTAGGGTCCCCGACTTTCGGAAGCTCCCCATATTTCTACATTCTTTTCAAAAGGGGTGTCTCAGCTTCAGGCCCAAGTCGAGCGTACCCGAAACCGTAAGCCGAAACCTGACCTCTTAACTCCGAGCCACTGCCATACAGCCTAAACGACAAACGGCGTCGCTATTACTACCACCACTACCACCGCCACCACCAGCAGCAGCAGCACCACCACCACCCCCACCACTGTACTACCACTGCCGCTACCACTACCATTACCAATTACCACTGCCACTACCACTGCCACTAGTACTACTGCTACTGCTACTGCTACTGCTACTACTACTACTACTACTACTACTACTACTACTACTACTACTACGACCACTACTACTAAAAACTGCGACTGCGACTGCAGCCTGCAACGACGATTACTACGAGAGCCCCAAGGCCCTGAACCCTCGGCCGCCGAGGCATCCGCCGAGCTCTGAAAAGCTTCGACCCTGGTTTAGGGTTTAGGGTTTAGGGGTTTAGGGTTTAGGGGTTTAGGGTTTAGGGGCTTAGGGTTTAGGGTTTAGGGGTTTAGGCTTTAGGGATTAGGGTTTAGGGTTTAGGGTTACAGCTCGAGACTCGAAGCCCCGCCATTCCGCCAGATACTGAAAATAGAACATAACCTACTAGTAAGGAAAAACTTCCGATCAACTAGAGCTTGGACTCTGAGGGCGTAGTTTAGGGGCCTCGGCGACTGGAATAGGGCCGCGGGGGCATAACTATGGGACAACTTATAGTAAGTAACCGTGAGGAGCTCGTCAAGCTGCTATAATAGTCCCCCAAGCACCCTAAAACCCCAAACCCTAAAACCGTAAACCGAAAATTTCAAACCGTAAACCCTCAAACCCTAGCCCCTCAAACCCTACACCCAAAACCCTAAACCCTAAAACCCTAAAACCCTAACTAAACCCTAAAACCCCCAACCCTAAACCCTAAACCCGCAACCCCAAAAGCTGGCCTTCCTCCTGTCCCCCGAGGCTGCCGGAACGACCGACCTCCTACGAGGCAGACCATGCTTTGAGGGTTTAGTTTAGGGCTCCTTTACAGGGGTTACTCGAAGGGCTACTCTAAGGGCTACGATAAGGGCTACTATAGTATAGGGGCCTCAATAGTTAGAATAGGATCTTGGAGCCCAGTATACTATGCTTGTATTAAGGAACCCCCAACATGGCAATGGCAATTTTTTTGCCCCTAGATTTTAAGGCTTCCGTTGCGGGGTTTGGGGTTTCGGGTTGAGTTGTTCTGTTGCTGGAGTTTGGGATGTACTGTTCGTACGAGTTACTACCAGCCTACCTGAGTATCTTTACTTCTGTCCATAAGCACCTGAACCCGAAACCGCTTTAAAACCCTCAACAGGAAGCCTCACAAATGGTGCCTTGGTGGCTTTGGGTGCCTCCTCGAGTCTGAGCCCTGTAGGAACTCACGGCTTCAAGCGCAAGCGGCGTGTGCCGAACCCCCAACCCCAAAACATCGAAAGCCTAAACCCCAAACGCCCCCTTCCGCCCTCTGCCCCAGCCCCGTGCCTTACACAACGATCTCCCTGGGCGACATGGAGCGCGCAGGAACCTTGGCGCTGTAGAGCCGTTCGCCCTTCTGGTCGTGGAAGCTCACCTCCATGAGCCCAGGGGCATAATGTAGGCCTTGATAATTAGAACAGGGTTTTGGGGTATGTTCTACTACAGTGAACCGCAGAAAGTTGGAACATGGGTTTAGGATGAATAGTGCTAGGATTCCCTCTACTTTACCATAAGGGCATGAGGATAATGGTGTTCCAACTTTCTGGCTTCTACTGTATAACCATAGCCAGGAGCCCCCAAAATCGTATAGGTAACTATTCAATTCAAGCCCTTATAGAGTAGCGGAGCAAGGCTTTGGGGCTCTTGGGGGCAGTTTGAGGTTCAGGGCTTCGAGGTTTTGATTTGAAGGTTCAGGGCTTCAGGGTATAGGGGTCCAGGGTTTCAGGGTGTAGGGTTTCGAGGGTTTCAGGGTTTAGAGGTTTAGGTTTCCGGGGTTTGATGCTCGACCCTGGGAGGGCAACGTAAACGGCTGAAGGCTTGGACTAGGTTTTTTGGGGTGGTGCACCAATGAAAACACTGCAAACTGACTTCTAGTTCTACGTATTCAAACCCATATACCATGCAAGGTAACCATGTAGAAGATTGCGAAGAATTGAATTCCTGGATTTGAAGCTTAGAAGCAATATAGAAGCTTAAGGTCTGTACTACAACTATATAGTATAATATACCCCACCAAAACCCTATTCCAATTATTCATGCCCCTATATTAAGGGCCCAATTGTGCGATCGCCTCCACTTCGTCATCCTCGAAGCGGAAGGAAGCGAAGCCGCCGTGTACCGAATCCTTCCTTAGCAAGCTCGTGGTTCTGTTCAACCCAAGGCCTTCCTACCCTAAACTCTAAACCCTCAACCGCAACTACCCCCACAGGGTTTAGGGTTTGGGGTTTTGGGAGCGTGTGGAGCTTGGGGTCCAGAGCTTAGGGGGCTTTTTGTGTTTAGGGGCCTTACTTGCCATGTCTAGGGAGTTTCACTCTTTCAGGATTTGGGGGCTAGAACCCGGAACAAGAAAAAGGGAAACCCGAAAATCTGCGCGAAGCGACGGCTTTGGGCCGATCCCGGGTCCCTTCCCGTGGTGCCCCGAGATGAGATAGCGGATGGCACCTGCGGAGAACTCAAGGCATCCACGGTCCAGGGTTTAGGGCTAGGGGCTTTGGGGTTAGGGTCCAGGGTTCAGAATTCAGACGTTAGGGGCTCTGTGGTTCTGGGGCATGGAGGTTTGAGGTTTATTCCGGGTTCTTTCGTCCCAACGCCCTAGACCTGGAAACCTACACCCTGTTGAAATGAACAATCCCGCTGTAACCCCCCCTCCCAAAATGAAAAGGACCGAAGCGAACGAACACTCTGCCAAAAACCTGTCAATACCTTACTAAGACCTACCTTCCGACCCCGCCATTTCAGCCTTCCGGAACGGTGTGGATCATCTGCGTTCCATAGCAGCATTCCCGACCCATGCCAGAAACGAACATCTCCTTATGGTTTCGGGCTTTGGCGTGGGTTTAAGGGTCTTAGAGGAGAGGGCTGTGGGATAGCAGCAACAAGCCAGAAACAGCTTGGGTTCTCCAAGCAACCCTAAACCCAAGACCTTAAACTGCCCTAAACCCGTAGGCTTGTCTCAGGCAAGCCACAACCCCGTTCGTCACGATGTGCTCCAGCATGTGGTCGTGGCCACTCAGATAGTGGGCGCCTTAGGAAAGAAACCCTAAAACACCCCAATTCAGTTCCTACTAAGACTCATGATAGGAACCCTCCTAAGAGTTCTGGTATAATCCTTAACTAAGGGGCATACTACTAAGAGTTAGGGTATAAACCTTAACCAAGGGGCTTTGGGGTGTCTCGAAGCCAAGTCAAGAGCCTCGAGGCCTGGCTTCGGATTTTCGCAAGGCCCCTGAATCTCGTCGTCAAAGACAGCTAGAGGATGCGCCTGCTTTTGCTGTAACAATATGAGTTTCCTTTCAAGCCTAACCGTGCCTAACCGCCACAGCCTTAATTCAAAGCTGGAAAACTACTTCTAGACAACCCTGAGCTGCCCTCATCATCATCGTCATCGTCATCATCATCCTCCTGACCAGGCAGGGCGGCCGTGCGTACGGAGCAGCGGAAGGAGCTTCTGCACGAGCATGCGGGTGGTGCCGTCGGAACCTCCGAATTCCAGAAGGTATTGTTTGGCGAGCATCTTCCACAAGCTTGGGTGTGAGGCGGTCGGTAACAACTCTGAAGGTTTTAGGATCGGGCTTCCGGTTCACCGTTTCATCCGGCTTCGGATTCAGGGTTTTGAAGCTTGGGTTTTGGGGTGGACTGAGGCGTCAACTCTGAGGAAACTGGGCGCAAAGGCTCTGTGATGAGATTCCAGCAAAACCTACTAACCCTTCAAAGGCTGGTTCGAATCACGACGACACTTTCACCCCAAAGCCCCGAAGACTTAGGTTTCGGGGGGACACGATAACGGAATAACTGAAGATGTCATTGCAACAAGGGGCTCACCCTACCCTCCCCTATTAGCCTTCTATCGCAAACCCTGCAACAACAAGCCGAGACATGCAGAATTCCTAAAAAAGCCCTCCCCCTTGAGCTCCGACTTTCCTAGACCCACATACTCCAAAAAACGTAGGGTAGGAGCGCTCCAAAGATGGTGGCACTGCCTTACACCTCAAAGCTGGCAATTGGGGCGACTCCCTCGCTTTATCACTTGATGGTTGATGTTTAGGGTTTAGGGCTTAAGGTTTAGGGTTTAGGGTTTAGGGCTTAGTGTTTAGGGTTTAAGGTTTAGGGGCTACGGGCCTTTATCAGGGCCACTTCAAGGGCCTCAAAACAGGGAGACTCGAAGGGATGCTGTACCGAACCTGTATAGGGATCTCCAGCTCCAGGTGCCTTGTGCAGTAGATCCATAATCGGGATCTATAGTAAATAATATGGTTTCCATGTTATGGTAACCTAAGTTAGATCGGAAATCTTATAGATCCCTTGAAGGAACCCTTATAGATCCCTTAAACGAACCCTTACAAACCCCTTAACAAGAACCGAGCAGGCACCGGCGCTGTAGATGGGATAGTGCCCGGCAACCCAGAGGAAGTCTGCTTTGCTGGAATTCCTCGGATTTGGCGTCACTTTCAAGTTGGTTTAGGGCTTAGTGGTTTAGAGTTTAGGGTTTAAGGGTTGAGGGGGGTTTAGGGCTTTAGGGTTTAGGTGGGGGTTTAGGGCTTTCAGGTCAAGCAGGCTGAGGGGCGTGAGGTTCAGGTTGGTTCCTGCGGTTTGCCTTTCGGGCTGAGTGTTTAGGCCTTGGGTTCAATCCTTTTGGTCCTTTATAGAAGGCCCTTATGTCATGTGTCTTATATATATATACACATATAATCTTATAGAACCCTTGTAGTAGCACTTTGGTACCCCTTGTCAGAACCCGGCGAGTAAGTTTATGACCCTTGTGGTGGGGCCGTCATCCGACACAACGGCCCTGCTCCTCGCGCCCTGGGTTATGGGACCTCTTCTTCTTCTTCGGTTTCCTGGTAGGACCCCCCCCCACCCCCCCGCCCCGCAAAAAAAGGCATGGTAGAGATTGTGGTTTAGAGTCCATCACAACTTGAATTAAGAGACTGCTCCCTATTACTCTTCACACTCTGCAGATGGACTCGGCTGCTTTGGTGATATCGCCGAGGGATTTGTCTTAATCCTGCCCATGCATTTAGCCGAAAGCATCTAGAGTAAAGAAACCCTCCATGTCTTTGCTAGCTCTTCTCATTACAGCAGCTGGGCTGGCAGTGTAACAGCAGAATATGTCGTCGTCGTCCTCATCGTCGCAGAAGCTGTGTTCTAGTAGGCACAGAGCACACGACAATATCTTTGCACTGCAGCCCAGAGTCAGCTTCTGTGCCAGCCACTGCCACTGTGAGTCCTGGGCGAGGGATAGGGTTGCGGGCACTGGTCCAAGAACGCAAAGCCTCGAGTTTGAACCTACATCCAACACCCTGTAAACACTAAACGATGCCTGCGTAAGACCACCGAGGCCCTCATCCCTTGCCCTCAAACCCCTAGTTGGAGGTTGGCATTCCTGGCAAACCCGTCAATGAGACTTCACCCTTAACCCCGAAGTCCTACAATCCCTCACACCCAAACCTTAAACCGCTAAACAACCTTACACCCTACACCCTGCACCAGTGAAAGCCTTAAACCCTTAACTGCAAAGCCCAAACCCTAAACCCTAAACTCAGAGGCTTTGCCGAAGAACCCTAAACCTGCCAACCGCCCGCCACGCCACCGCGTGTACCGCATTCGGTGGCCCGGGAAGATCACAACCCAAGCAGCTGTCATCGCTCGGCCCTGGCCAACTGGGATGATCAAGCTGCTGCTGCATGAACGGTGATCTTACAAGTCTTGCTGTCGAATATATATATATATATATATATATATATATATATACATATATTTATATACATATATATATATTACCACCAGCTTCGTCCCTATCATTCTTGCTGACGGTGCCTTCTCCCAGTTGGTACTATGGCCTGATGCCCACCTTCGTCCTGCAGACCCTGACTAGCACCGTCATGTTCATCATGTTCTTCTTCTGCTTCACGGTTTAGTGTTTAGGGTTTAGGGTTTTCTTCTTCCTCATCATCAACCCGCTCGTCGTTATACTGCTTTTTTGTAAGCATGACGCAGATCATCCTGAAGCAAAGCTCCCCACTTCTGAGGAGGCAAGCCCTTCAATCGAACTGCATCTACCCAGCCTTACACCCGAAACCCCAAGCCCGTGAAACCCACAAGGATCCAAAACCGCAAAAGCCGGGACACCCAAAAAACCTGTCAAACCCCGAAAACAGACCTGCTAAGAGCACCGTGTCCACCATCAGCAACTCCAGGGTCCTCATCGCACCGTCCCCTGCCTGCACGAACTCTGTGTTACATGGGGCCCCATAGGCAGTCTGATAAGGATTCCATAAGGGTGCTATACAGTTTCGGGCTGGATGATAAACGCCCAAAGGGCCACATTAAGATTAAGGTAGGCTCAGGGTATAGGACTGAAGCTTGTGAACTTGTCCTAAACAAAGTTTCAACCTTTAAAGTTCCTGTAGGGTGTTAGCATGTTCCTACCCCTACCCCAACGCGCGAGGCCCATGGTTTCAGGAAGTTGGGGAGCCTGACGGAGCCTCCAGCGGAGATGCCTCAACAATCAGATCTTGTTTTGGCGCATAGTGGAACCATGTAGGGACTCTGGGGGAATACTGTGTTTAATCCCTCGGGCCTCTACAAAGTGGATGAAAGAGCTCGAACGGGTCCAAGCCTTCTCAACATGATTCGCAAACCTTCTTACTTTAGGCCATAATGAAAGGATCCCTCTGAAATCCCTCTTGGCATCCTTAGTAAGGGAAGAGTCGTTGTCAATCAGAGGTCTGTTAAAGACATGGGGGTTTAGGACTGCTGCGGGAACAAATAGAACTCCTAAAAACCTGGGCTATAAACTGGAAAACTCAAGCGTTCCTCCAGACTGTCAAACCCTGAATACATAAAGCGCTGCTGTCGGAAACCTCAAGCCATGATCAGAACAGCGCTTAGGAAGAACATTCATAACTATTCCGGCTTCCATGCTACACCTCTAGGAGTGGCGCATCCCGTGATTTGGCGACATTCGAGGACAGCACAGAGACCCCTTGGGTTTGCAGGGTTCAGGGCTTGGGGATGGAAGCCGAAGATGAATATATGGGCCTTAATAATTAGAATAGGGTTTGGGGGTAATTTCGACCATAAATAGAATAAGGAACCCCCAAAATAGTGTAGGTAATTATTAGGGCCCCTTTATTAGATGCCTTTAGTGTTGAGGCTTCAAACTCACGGTTTTCGCTTCCACTCCCCAAACCCTACACCAAAGAAGGCCTTCCACTCATAGGTCAGGTTGTAGTACGGCGAGGGGTAGTTCCAGCGTTTGGAGTCGTGCGAGTATGCCAGCTGCGCCGTAACGTTGCCGCGGTGGTCGTGATTGCCTATCAGGATTTAGGTTTAAAGCTTAAGGTTTAGAGCTTCTCTGGGCTACAGTCCAGACATCTCATACCGGTACATCTCCAAAGAGTGTGGGCGGGTTTAGGGACCTGGACTACTCCAGAACGAGGTTCCCGGGCACCACCAGAGCCAGGTGAGCATAGGAGTCAGACTGGAACACCCATCACTGCACCGGCAGATCATAGTTCTTGTGATTCAGGTCAGGAAAGCCCAGTATGTTATGGTATAGTACATATACTATCTAGTTCCTTCTTCTCTTACTGGATATGTTCTATGACCTTCATATACATCAAGCAAGGCTAGACCTAAACGCCCCAACGAAAGCTCCCGGATTCTGAGTCGGAAACAGAAAAACCCTAATGCCAAAGCCATCTCCGACCCTCGGGGCTCAAAGCATCCCAAATGAGAGTTTCCGAAGATTGGGGGTACCTTATGTGGTGGGTCCTTGTCATAAGGAATCCTACTCTTTAGGGCACTATATTAGGGTCCCCTATTTTCGGAAACTCCCCAACTATCGAACCTCAGAGCCTACACCCTGAGCTCCAGGCTCAAGCCAAAAGACCTCAACCTTGCATGCACTTTACCCGCAACCCTAAACTCGCTGAACCCCAAACCCTGAACCCAGAGACCCCTGCAACCCCTAAACCCACCTACACCCCCCTTAAAACCCAACCCTAAACCCTAAACCCTAAATCCTAAACCCTAAACCCTAAACCCTAAATCCTAAACCCTAAACCCTAAACCCCAAACCCTAAACCCAACCCCCCACAAACCCTTCAAACTGCTCCGCAACTCCGAGACCTGCCACCACCCAGAAGGGAAGCTCCGGCAGATCGCGGCAGTAAACGTCCTCGAAGGTTTCCTGAGCCGGTGGAACCGAGACAATCTAGGGTTTAGGGTTCAGGGGTCTATGGATTTTGGGTTCAGGGTTTACGGGTTTTGTGGTTTAGGGCTTCGGCCATAATACTTGGAACAATGTGTTTGGGTAGTTGATGCAACAGTTACTGATACGGAGTGATTGCAAGAGAACAGTGTCGATTTATTCCGACACCTCTATAATCAACCGGCAACGGAACTAATACGCACTTTAGGGTTTTTTTGTTTGAGCACCTTTTTCAACGAGAGCGCAGAATAATAGCACAAAAAGAAAAGAACAATAACAACACAAACTGCGCGCGCTTCGCGCGCGCAAAACTGCAAAAGCAGCAGCAACACCGCGGTTGAGGAGGTTCTAGTGGTCCTGGTCGTCGTAGTGGTATGGTCGTTGTGGTAATCGTATTAGCAGCAGCAGCGGCGGCAGCAGCAGTAGCAATAGTAGCGACAGCCGTAGCACTCAAAATAGCGCAACACTAGCTGGAGCAGCAGCACTATAGCAGCAGCAGCAGCAGTAGCAATAGTAGCGACAGCCGTAACACTCGAAATAGCGCAACACTAGCTGTAGCAGCAGCATTATAGCAGCGGCAGCAGCAGTAGCAGCTTGACCTGCTGCCACATGCCAAATCAGGTGCTCAGCTGTGGCAACCACTGCTCGAGACCGGCAGCTGAGAAACTTTTCTGACGAATTGGCACGAAGTGTCTGCAATCAAAGCAGAGCTTCACAACTCTCGACAGCCCGTTGTGAGGCCTTCAAGCTGCTGCACTCAAAGAGCACCGACGGAGGCGAGCCAGCAGCTCTGCGCCACGCCTAGCTAGTCGCACTTGCATCTCCAGGACCTCGGCTGAAGCAGCCAGTCGGGCATCAAGTACTCCCACTTTCCACAGTAAGGCCCCAGCGGTCGCACCATCTTCATGAAACTCTATGTCCGGTGGGACGCGATCAAGATTCTCCTGCATGGCTACGATCTTTAAATGCCCGATAACAAAGAAGCGAGCGTCCTGCATGCCACTCAGCAGCCTGTCCTGAACTCTTGCAAATCCATTCCTGCACATGCTTCCGGAAGTGCTTCGCCGTGAGATCTCTGGGTGTGGAAGTATCTGAAACCACATCTAAAGACGTCCACTCTTTTCGCGGTTTCCGCAATGTCTGGACGTCGCCATCAGAGTCGTCCGAAATCACAACATGGCTCATTGCATCTGAAACCGTGCGACATACGAAGGAGCTCGTCTTAGAAGTCACTTGGTTCTGCAATGTCCAACTTTCTAGATGCATTTATATGATTAAAAAAGCAAGCAACTGCAATGCTGCAGTCAAGCCGAAGAGCATGAACTCGCAATGGCTTTCCAGCGAGCTTTGGCAGTGATTTTGCAGCTGCCACAATATGCACCCGTATCTGGCCGCGGAGACCACAGCAAGCCTTGCTTTCTTGCCTGCCCCGAACGATTTACAGAAATGGGAAAGGTCGTCTTAATGAACGCAAGCCTGCCGCGCGTCCACGAGTGGACTCTGAAGAGCTTCGTCTGCTTCCTGGCAGGAAGCTCTACAGAGAAGGAGCGCTTCATGTTCCAGATAACAAGCCCGCCACACGCCGACGGCTGGAGTCTGAAGAGCCTCGTTTTCTACCTGGCAGGAAGCTCTACAGAGAAGGAGCGCTTCATGTTCCAGATAACAAGCCCGCCACACGTCGACGGCTGGAGTCTGGAATTCGTTTTCTACCTGGCAGAAGCTCTACAGACAAGGAGCGCATCATAATCCCCATAACGAGCTCGCCGCACGTCCACGACTGGAGTCTGAAGAGCTTCGCTTTCTTCCCAAGGCAACGCAAGAAGGTCGGGCAAGCTGTTTGCCAGCTAAACTTATCGATTTACACTGTGCTCAGCGCTGAGGTCTGTACGACCAGGAACATTGGACGGAACTACTTACTGTGTACGCCTTGCTCCGCAATCCGCGCCGATCAAGCTGAGAGCCGAGGCAAGGCGCACATCCAGTCTGAGAAGCGGATCCTGCAGCATCAACAGTGCTGCAATGACGGTGCACCATGCTAGTTGCTACTTTGTGTTGTTAGTGGTGAAGGCTTTGTTGTGTTACTGGGGTTTTTGCGCTATTACTGGGAAGGCTTCACCTTTTTCCGTCCGCCTAAGGAGTTTAGGGTTCAGCCTGCACTTGGAGGGGCAGGGGACTTAGTAAGTAGGTTATAAGTAGGGTTACAAGTACCCTAAATGGAGTTACCCCAATTACAACCTACTTATAACCTACTTAGTAAGTGCCCTGGGCCTCCAAGCAGGGTTTCAGACTTCTGGTTCAGAGCCAGGGCTTGGGGTTTGTGGCTTTCGGGTGGGAGGAGCTCGAAAAGATTGACCGCCGCAGTCGCTACCACAGGAGAAGCAACAACGGCAAGACAAGATGACGACCTCAATACTTGTGGGTGCTGTAGATACAGATCATCGAAGGATTGCTCGTATTTGGCGAAGCCCCATCATTACTAAATCCGAAAGTCCGAAGCCCAGCCCTAGCCTTAAGCCCCGGACCACAATGCCCCAAACCCTAAACCCCTAAGCCCCAAGCCCTAAACCCCCAAACCCTAAAGCTCTAAACAGTGAAACTCAAAAAGCCCAGGAGCGTGAAAACGCGGCGAGTGCTCGGTCTGCACGCCGTGGGAGTAGAAGTTATCTCCCAGCCTTGGTCCACGCCCGGAACGACGCACGGAACGGCTTTAGGGTTTAGGGTTTTCTGTTTAAGGTTGAGGGTTTTGGGGTTTAGGGTAGACTTAGGATTTAGGGTTTAAGGTTTAGGGTTTCGGGCTTTCGAGGCTTCGCGGAGGGATCGCTATTGAAAGGTTTGAGGTCCAGGCCTAAGACTTTGATGAAGAGCTTAAGTGGCTCGGGCTCTCTGCAAGGTCTTAACCTCCGAACCGGACACAATGTGCTCCGGCATGGAACACCAAATCATCAAGCTATGATGTTTAGGGGCATATAGAGGCCTTAATCCTCAGAAAGGGTCCTTCGGCTATACTAGAAAAAAGGAGTAGCGAATCTTCAGGAATCATATTGGAATATTGCGAACCTTGAAACCTAAACTCCTTTCTCCTCATCCACACCCGCCAATATTTATCTTGAGCTGGAGAGGCAGAAGGACCATCTCGGCGCCGATCTCCTGCGCCACCCGGGCCATGCCGGCCGAGGCTTCCACCTGAAGGACTTCTGGATTCTTCTTGCTTCGGGTTTAGGGGTTCAGGGGTTTAGGGGTTCAGGGGTTTAGGGGTTTAGGGGTTTATTCAGGCTTCGGGTTTAGGGTTTAGGGTTTATTCAGGCTTGGGGTTAAGGGTTTAGGGTTTATTGAGGCTTCGGGTTTTATTAGGGTGTAGTGCCCAAGGCAGTTTAAAAGGGTCCACAGTAGTATGCGTTAAACCCTACAATTTGGCCCTCATGCTGCTCACCGTTTGTATTCAGTTCTGTTGCATCAAGCCCCATGACAAAGTCCTGTAAACGTTCCCACCTGCCCAGAAGTTGTCGGGTGATCGTCGTCGCGACCGCCCCAGTCGCCAACAGCCAGGAAACTGACACAGCGTGCAAGAAAAGGTCGCTTGAGGAAGCAAGGATCTGTTGCTAACTCCGGTGCTGCGCGATGAAGCCTCTAGTCCAGGTGATACATAAACTCTCTACAATTGTATACGCACATGCGCAACCATGGCCTTTGTGGCTGTTCACATCACTATGCCAATACCTGCGTCTTTACACCGATTCGTTGTCTTTGTTGTCCGTTGTCTCAGAAACTGCCGTGCGACGTAAGGATCGTTTGAGCGATCAAGTCCGTATGACAGGAAAAATCACCGAGTCAGACCGAAGGCAACGATAACGTAGGGGCCTGAATAATACGAATAGGGTTTTGGAGTCCACAACTATCCAGTCTTGTATCTGCTTGTTCGATGACAACTCGTTGCCTGTCTATGCTGTCAAGTGAACCCTCGGGAGTTACGCCGATGCACTGCCAAGTAGAAGTGACGAAGCGTACTTCCGCCCCCTTGCATGGAGGAAAGAGGCACCCTACAAACGCTGAACCATAAATTTCTAGCCTAAACTCGTAGACCCGTTTAACCCTTCGCTTCCGAGAACCGTCACCAAGAACCATGAAGCTGCGAAACGAAACACTTTCCATTGGTCGGAACCCAGAAAATCCAACTCGATGTAACTCGAGCCCCACTCAGAAACCAAGAATAATCATGCTATCGACTTCAGAGCACATTGAAACCTAAACTCCAAACCCCTGCAACCCTCACACGAGCCTGTTGAAACCCAAGCGCTTTTGAACCTAATCAAACCCTGTCGAGCCCTGAATCATGAAAGCCATGTTGAACCCCTTGGTTAGTAGGGAATGGAGGAATGGGGTACAATTACAAGTACTATTACTACCATTCTTCCATTCCCTACTAACCAAAGGTAATTCAACGCGGAGCCCTTGAAGGTTCATGACCCTTGCGAGCGCTAAACCCTAAACCCTTTTCATCCCTCCTTGAACACTAGACTCCGAAAAACCCTCGTAAAGGCGTTACAGAACCCTTCTAGGGCGAACCCGCAAACAAACCCTTAGAAGAACTAAACCCTGAACCGTGAACCCTAAACCGCCCAAAATCCACCTTGGCCCGGCCCAAGCAGCCCGCACGCAAAGCAGCGCCCAGAGTCGGGACATGGCTCGTTAAACTTCGGGACTCCGAGAGTATTAGTAGGATGCAGGGATCAGGGTGTAGGGTTTAAGGTTTACAGGATGTCGGGTTTAGGGTGTAGGATTTACGGTGTAGGGTTTAGGCTTTAGGGGATGTAGGGTTAAGGGCTTGATGGGCTGGATCCTAGGCTCTCGTGCATGTCCTGTGGACCCTGGGCCCAAGCTTTTCTTCGAGGTTGAGACAAATTCCTTTGTAGCTGCTGTACTCTTATGGTATAACATAACCTAAAACCCTGCTTCCCCAATCCTTATGTTAGAGAACCCTATAGTACCCTTAAAGAGGACCCGGCTATGGAACCCCATAGTACTCTTAAAGGGAACCCTTTTGTAGAGCCCTACAGTACCCTTACAGGGAACCCAATTATAGAACCCGAGTGCATCCCTTAAAGGGAACCCTATTATAGAGCCCTATAGCCTATAGTGCCCTAAAGGCCCTTGCCCAGAGAGAACAACAAACCACTCGGCCGAACCTCCGTCGCGGTGTCTCTCGAAGCCCTGGCGCCGCTCCCGCCCTCGCCGTCACCTCGCGCTTAACAGGGAGTTCGGGGTTTAGGGTTTAGGGTTCAGGGTGTGAAGTTTGAGGTCCGGGACTGAAGGAGTAGGGTTCAGGGACTTGGGTTTGGGTTCTGGGGTTTTGGGCAAAGGAGCGAGACTGAGAGGTTGGAATGCTAATTAGCTGAGGATATGCGGCCTGTTCAATCTAGTGGTTAGTTTTGGGTTTAGGGTTTTTAAGTTCCCGGAAGGTAGAACGCCTACAACAAAAAAAGCTTCCGCAAGACTTTCTGGCCCAGCTGTCAGGTAGCCTTGCGCGATGTTGATGCACTTTCACCCCAAACCCTAACTGCTCTCAACCCTAGGAAACTTATATAGCAATGAATAATATATACTATGAACCCTATGAACAGTATAAACCCTATACCACATTAATAGGAACCCCGTAAAGCTTATAAAGGCTACAAACCCTCGGAACCCCATAAACCCTACAAGCTGTAAACATTTCTAAACACTTTGACCCTCGCCGAAGTAACCCGAGCTTTCCTGGAGCCCACCTGGTGCATCCTCCTCCGGGCGAGCCACCATGAGCTTTTCCAGAAGGGCACTGCCTGATTATTTGGGTTTAAGGCTTGGGGGTTCAGGACTTACAGCCGTGCAGATTCAGGATTTCGGGTTGCCGGGGTTTAAGTAGTAGTTTTGGGCTGGTGGTTTAGGCTTCAGGGCTTCAAGGGCTTTGGGAGTTAAAGGGTTTGGGGGTTCCGATTTGGGGATTGGGTTTCACACTCCACTGGAGACAAGAGTTTGCGGTTCAGTGCTCCTCTTGACTTCATGACCGTCTCTGGTCAGATGAGTCAGTCTCATCAGTAGAACTTGCCTCTATAGCCAACCCAAAAAATTGGAAATCGGATTAAGGACAACAAGTAGCTGGGATTCGCTATACATGACTCTCAAGGATTGAGGCTATTTGCTTTCCAACTTCTGGGCTTCTGCTGGAAGAGCTTAGAAAGGGCCCCCACCCTGTAATAGTGACTATAAGGATTACATAAGGGCCCTATTATTCCTATGCTACCACTATGACAGGGTGGGGGCCCCTTCTAAGGAAGAGCATGGATGCTTTGGCTGCGATTTACCAGGGCCCGGAGACTATGGAGGCTGCCAGCATGGATGCTCTGCAACACTAAGAAATGGAGGCCATAGTGTATAATGGAACAGGGTTCCGGCGTAAGTTTCGACTACAATTCTCTGGTGACTAATTATACGCGGATACATAATTCTAGTTCCTCCCACCCCTACATAAATAGCACCATCTCCCCTTTAGTGCCTGCATGAGAAAACTCCAATAAAACCCCCCAAACCCTAGTCTAATCAGTATTGATTGAGGCCCCGGTATCCGTATGCTCCCGCTTCTTCTTGGGCTACACACCCCCTTAGAACCTCAACAAAATCAAAATTTCTCATAGTCTCTTGGGTTTTATATGAACAGAAATCAAAAAAAAAGCACCTCCTAAGGAGACTTTTGTAGGCACCGGGCTGGAATCCTCGGGCTTTTCTCCCATCGGCTCCGCGGCAGCGGGCTCGGGGACCTGCTGCGTGGCTCCCGGCTCCAGGACCAGAGGGGGTCTTGGGACTTTACGGGTATATAGGTTTAGGATTTAGGGTATATAGAGGGTTTTAAGGTTTGGGGGTTTAGGGCACATAAATATAGGGTTTCAAGGTTTAGGGTCTTAGGGGTTAGGGCTTTACGGCTTTACGGCTTCAGGGTTTTAAGCATGTGAATGCGTGTCAAAATTATGGTCCGTTTTTGAGTCCCGAATATAATACGGCACGAATTATTTCGGGTACCCAAAGAGGGACCCCTACGCGGACAACTAGCCAATGTAGGGCTTTGCTTTAAGGCTTTGGGGCTTTCGAAACCTGAACACCCGAATCACAGAATCGCGGCCCCCAGACCTCCGGAATGCTCAGCCTTTAGCCCCTCATCCTTCAACCCAAATTACATCCCCTGTAAACGTCTCAGGAAACCTCTAGAAAACCCCTTGAACACCAAAACGGCACCCCTTGAAGACAAAACTTCAATCTCTGAGCCTGAAACCCACGCAATCTCGTGGAGTTGAGACGTGGAGTCGCGATGAATTCCGGTTTCAGCTGAGGGTATCTTCTTCTTGTACGACAAAATCCCTAGGTCATACCATTCTTCCAGACTTGCTGTGGGTGAGTCAGGGCTTCAGATCTGTAGATCAAACACACAGGGCGCCGAGACCTAAAGTCCAGACCCGAAGCCCCAGAGCCCCGGTGGTATTTGAAACGTCCTCGTCGGCCGCATGCGAGTCTTCGGCGGCAGCGGCCCCTACGCAGAGGGGAATTTGCAGACTAGTGACTAGGTCCAAGCTCCGGTGCGACCAGATAACTCAGCTCTGCTGGCTGAAAGGTAGCTGTTCTGTATCTGCTTAACAGGACCTAGGAGTTCGCACTGGTAAGGTCACTGGGCTGTCTACTCCTTATATACCTCGACACTCACCACCACTACCACCACCAGCACCAGCAGCAGCAACATCATAAACCATCCCCAGGAAACACCAACCACCACAGTCAAAGAACAAACAAACAAAACCTGCAAGAAGGCGACTCGAGGCCACGTGGCCTTGCGACCCCTGCGACGGCTGTGACAGCTGCGTTGCCTCCGACGTCTCCTTGGTAGACAGCTTCAAAGCTCTTTACCACTATGAAGCACAATGTTCCTGTGTGTTCAAATGCAGCTGCCGATACTACAATTCATGCTAGCGCTTGTGAGCAGCACAAGAAACTGTAAGCATAAGGGCTTAACAATTCGGGCCCATTGTACTATACTTAAAGTGAGGAACCCCCCATTGGTAATTATTTCAGCCCCTATACTGGCTGACTTGATAGATCATGCGAAAAACGGATATCGGCAAGCCAACGAGCTCATGCCCCACACA